TTATTATTATTATTATTATTATTATTATTATTATTATTATTATTATTATTTGCTTACTGTGGCTGGGAGGGGCCTAATGAATCTAGGGGTTCCAAACACACAGCAGAGTACTTCACCGAAGTGAGACATTTCCCCAGCCGGTCCTGACTTTTGATTGAGATTCCTGAGTACTGCTGCACTTAGCTCCAAAAGGTGTCCCGGGTTAAGGCCGGCTGTGACCTCCGCCACCACAACCCTGCCTGCATGACGCTGTGCTCCTTCACTTCCACTGCGCTCTAGGGTAAGAGAGAGGAGAGCGACCAGAAACATCTGTTCAAGTGGAGAGCCAGCAGTGACATAGAAAGGAGGGACAGCTACCACAGAAATGAGAATTAAACAGCATCGCCTAAATTTAAATGGCCAGAGAGCATGAAGAAAATGGTAGGAACAGAGTCAGGCCGGTCTCTGTGGTAAACGTGGATATTTCATCTCAGATACAGACACTGCTCCTAACCTGGCGGTCATGATCCCTACAAATCTCTGGCCACTTTCAAACTTAGACTGTATTTATAGGTAGTTCTCAAGGCATGGGCCTACTCTGAAGAATAGCTGTCTCCTTTAGACAGCTCTGAGAAAATGGCTGACACACAATAAATTGCATATATTTAGAGTATACAGCTGGGTAAGCTCTGACATTCTGTACAACCTGAAATGACCACTGAGGCCAAGACAGTGATCATATCTATCATACGCATTGTGCCACCTCCTTCAGGCTTGACCCTGGGAACGTGTGTCTGCCTCTAGCTCAGCAGTTCTCAGGCTGTGGGTAGCACCGGAAAATACAAATACTTACGTTATGATTCGTAACGGTAGCAGAATTGGTTATGAAGTAGCAATGAAATGACTTTATGTTTGGGGTTCACCACGAGGAACTGCGTTCAAGGGTCGCAGTGTTAGGGTTGAGGACCTCTGTGCTAGCTCTTGAGTGATCTAACTAGAAGTTTATCAATTTCATGTACTTTCTCCAAGGTAGCACTTTCTAATTAAAAAAAAAAAAAAAAACAAAACTATTGATTCTTTGTGAATTTCTCATCCCTGTCCCTCTATAGCCACCCTCTACCCCTGCAACCTCCCAAAATGAAAACAAAATATAAAAATAAAAAAATGATAAAAAAAAAAAATCTTGGCATGGAAGATCGCATGACAGCATGTACCCTTTTGCCCCAACAGCGTCACTTGCAGATTTCACTGCAGTGAGTCACTGGCCCGATTAGAGGCCTCTGGCTTCTGCTTCTGCCTTTAATCCCAAGCACTAGGGAGGCAGAGGAAGGCAGATCTCTGCATTCAAGGCCAGCCTGGGCTACAAAGTCAGTTCCAGAGAAATCCTGTCTTAAAGAAAAAAACAACCACCACTACCAAAGTGTTGGCATACTTTTTATCTCCTTTATTTGGGTTCTTATACCTCTACCTCCCTTCCGAACCACCAACACTAGGTAGGAGAAAGGTTATATCGGAAAGGAGACCGAGACCTCTTCAGACTTAGTTCCTGGGGCAAGTCCAATCTTCGTAGTCAGGATATTCAACAGTCCAGCCAAACCACAAATGCAGCAGCAGGATGAACCAGGAGCAGCAGTGGGCAGCAGAAGGGGGAATAGAAGCTGCCTTCCTCTTCATGCACCCTCGTTCCCCGCTGGGCTCAGACTTAAACTACCTGTAACTGGCAAAGATCACATCCCTCTCAGAGCAGGAGACAGTCATAATGAAAACAGTCCCATATCCCACACCGGGGATTAAAACAAATCATATTTACATACTAAATTTATTTATTTATTTTTATTTATTTAGTTAGTTAGTTAGTTTTTAAGGAAGCCAAAATTTCCACTACAAAAAGGAAAGAAAAGAGATTAGCTATAATCCAGCTGAAAAACAAAAACCCGAAGTGGTACCATTTTGATAAGCTACAATGTTCATTACAAACAGTGCTGCAACTTGCCTATGTCCTTCCTGACAGGGTAGGAATTGCTACAGAATAAATTTCTAACAGTGGAGTGTCTTGATAAAAGTATCAGTGCACTGCACTTATTTTCATTTTTTCAAGACAGAGTGAGGCTCTCTGTGTAGCCTTGGCTGTCCTGGATTCACTCTGTACACCAGACTAGCCTTGAGCTCAGAGATCTGCCTGCTTCTGCCTGCCCGAGTGCTGAGATTACAGGCGTGTGCCACCACGCCCAGCATCCGTGCACTTTAAATATCAGCAAGATAGTACCAAATGCCCTCCACAGATACACTTTTGCATTTACGCTCCCATCGTCACTGAAAAGATTTCAGAAAATGCCACTGGGATTTCTGCATACCCTTTGACCTATGAATTCCAGTTTCACAAATTCATGCTACAAGATTCCACGTAATAGGTGGCTAAGACAGCTAAAAGTTGGAATTGAGACACATAAAAATAGATTAAGCAGCCAGGCAGTGGTGGCACACAGCTTTAGTCCCAGCACTCGGGAGACAGAGACAGGTGAGTTTGAGGACAGCCTGGTTTATAGAGTGAGTTCCAGGAAAGCCAAAATTACACACAGAGAAACCCTGTCTCAAAAAAAAAAAAATCACTTATGTGGAGTAATTACCCATTAACACAAAATGGTGTCCACAGCAGACAGTTGAGTGAAAACAGCCAGCTTTAGGCCCAACCAGTGACCAGCGGGCTGAGGTGGAAGTCTTCCACTGCTGGGTCCTGGTGGCTGCTGGCTCCTGAGCAGCTGCCACGTGTCTCTTCATCCTTCAGCATCTTTGAAGTCCTATGAACATCAAGCTAACTGGCTGGACGTTGGTCTAAGCTTGGGCACCACTGTCTCCATCTTCCTGTGGTCCTGTTCCATCAAACAACATAATGTTTTACAGTATAAAAGGACAGAGGAAACAGACCGGAATAAACTTCGCAAACAATAATGCAGTGTGTGCTGTGTACAATGACCACAGTGGCTCTTTCCCATTTACTGACCTGTCACACTGTGAATTTGAAAGTTGTGTGTGAATATGTATCAAGTCAGCTGGCACTTCTGTCATTTTCATCAGAAGGAATAAAATGAAATAAAACCAATATAAAAAAAATAAACTTTATTGAGGTTTAAAACATTTTTTGTTTACATTTACTTAATGTGTGTGTGTCTGCCTGTCAGACTGTGTGTCCGTCTGTGATGGTCAGAGATGCTGGTTCTCTCCTTCACCGTGTGAATTACAGGGATCAAACTCAAGCTGTCAGGCTTGGTGGCAAGCATATTTACTGGACCTTGTTGATGTTTCTCAAAAGTTAGGGTGCTTTTAATGTATACTTTGGGAGCCAGGCATGGTGGCATGAAGCTAGCTTGGGTCTACAAAGAATGTTCTAGGACAGCCAGGGCTGAAACCCTGTCTCAAAAAACTAAAAACAAAATAAAATAAAACAAAACCTTTATACTTTACTATTTTTTTAAACATTATTACACAGTAAAAAGAATGAAAGTAAATCCGTGAAGATGTAAAAAGTGACAGAGAACAAAACAATATAGTTTACAGATGATAATACACAAGGCACCTATTAACTTTCTTTTGAGTAAGTGGCATTTTTTATTTATACTGGAGCTATATTAGGTAATTATTCGTTTATCTAAAATTCAAATTTAACAGAGTACCTCCTGTTTTTACATCTACTCTGGCAACTTAAAAAATTAATTTTGGGCTGGACAGTGGTGGCACACGCCTTTATTCCCAGCACTCGGGAGGCAGGGTCAGGTGGCTCTCTGTGAGTTCAAGTCCAGCCTGTTCTACAAAACAAGTTCCAGGACAGCCAGGGCTGGTACACAGAGAAAGCCTGTCTTGGAAAAACTGAAGAAAGTTCACAACTATTGATGTATTTATAGTCAGAGAGTAGCTTCTCTCTTTCCACATGTGGCACTAAACTCAGGTCCTCAGGCCTGGCAGCAGCCTCTCTCTGGTGGCTCCAAGCAGACAAGACTCTTAACTCAGATTATCTTTTTGGATGTAACTTCAGAAGAAAGCCAATTACTTATGCATATATTCATTTATTACATAGAGGTCCTTAAGCTTCACAACAGAGCTTTCAAAGTAAATTCTGCGTGATACAGAGTACAAAATGAACACAGCTTTGCGATTATGTTTGTTACATATATCAAAATTATGTAATTGTTTTAAAAGATGCAGAATGGTCTCTACGGGTAAGAAGTATCTTTGCTTGTCAACATGGAGTGAGGACAGGGTGCACGCGTGCCATCCCCAAGCTCAGGAGGGTTACTTTGAACTCGAGGCCAGTCTGGAACTACACAGAAGACCCTGTCTCAGGAGGAGTTAAATACTAGAACAAATTGTACTGGGCTAAAGCACTGAACATGTATTTGTTGGAAATTTCTTCTCAGGGCAACTCCATCCCAAGCTATTATGTGCTGTCTTCCTGTAATGAGTAAAACTGTGTTATGCAGTCACGTGAAAATGATGGGGGAGGGAAAGATAGGCAGGGAGAGATGAGAAAGCAAAGTTTTCTTACCAGTAAGAACATTTTTAATTGGCAATTAGGTCATTATGCAAGTCTACCTTACTTCATACCACAGGGTTGGTATTTCAACACTATCACCTTACACAAAGAGCCCTAAAGATCTTAAACTTTGACTACTTGGGTAAGAGGTGGGGCTAGAACCATGAGGTACACCTCTGATGGAGGACATGGAGGCAAGCGACTGTCCAGTAAAGGACAACACACGTGCACAGGGTGAGCTGTGAGGTCAAACAGAAGAGAATGGAAAGCTATCGGCTATGAAAGACGGTGAGGTACTGCGGGTTCAAAGGTCAACAAAAGCTTCCTGGTGAAGTGACCAAGACAGTCCTTGAGCGCTCAGGGACAGGAGTGTAACAAAGGGCAGGCAGCGCAGGTGAGAGGCGCAAGGCAGGAGCAATGCCTGAGAGCCTGACCTGGTTCCGTCTCAGGCCTGGTCTTGCCTTGGCATGGTTCTAATGCCTCCTCCCTCACCTGCCTAGAACGCTGTATCACACAGTGCTGGGAGGCAGCTGAACTGACATTTTCTCCTCAAAGCCCTCCCAGAACATTCCAGACTCAGCATTAGCCGTCCTTAGGATGTCTTAGCAAGTGTGGCGTCACATACTTACCATTCCAGCAGTCCTAGCGCTTGGCGGGCTGAGGCTCGAGGTGGGCTAGGTGGGAACTGCTAAGCTAGCTTGGACAAGAGTGAAACCCTGTCTCAAAACCCAGAACTGGAAAAAAAAAAATAAACTAAGGGTTTAGCCAGGGATAACAGTACACGCCTGTCACCTCAGCCTCTGAGAGGGAGAAGCAAGAGAAGCAGAAATTCAAAGCCAGCCTCAGTTACAGTCATTTCAAAATAAGCCTGGCTTTCATGAGACCCTGCCTCAAAAGGCCAAAGAAACTTTTATTTTAGTTAAAAGGGTAATCGTTTGATGTCTACCCTACCTGATCCCACACATTCCAGGAACACGGGAACCTCTGTCTTGCTCACTCACGTGGCTGAGTCTTTGCATCACGATGTAATGTCAGATACAGAAGATACTCCATAGACTGCTAATGGATCAGCTCTGCTAATAGTTTTTGCATGATGTTAAATACAGCATCGGATGTTTGACATTAAGGTTAAATTATGGGACCCACAAGACAAAGTACCTAAGAAAAATTTTTAAGTCATGGATTTCTATGACGTAAGCCAATTTGATAGCTGTGGTAATTAACAGTCTTTTAAAATGCTCTTTTTCTCAGTGAAAGACTGGAAATTTAATAAAAGTAACAAACAATAAAGGCATACAAAAGAATACTAACATAGAAAGCTATGTAATTTTTGGATGCCTTGTTTGTATAGGTAGTACATTCCTTTTGTTTATATAACATCTTTATACTTTTACTTTCTTAGTCACATGCAATAATCTATTCAAAGTTTATTCAAAGTTTAGGTAAATTCAAAATAAGCCCAACATTGGAAATGTAATGTCTAATCAAGTCTCAATTTTACATTTTATTCCTAGCCCCCTAATAAAATGGTATAGTTAAGCATCTAAATACGTATTTAGTGAATATTTAATTTAGTCTTCTGTAGCTACATCCCAATATTTTGGTGCCAAATTTCTACCAGCTAAGAGGGACAGTATTCAAACTAGTGAGTTATCTCAGATTTACCGAACTGTGACTGAAGAAAATCACTTAACATAACTAAAGTTGTCTACTAGTTCCAATTACTTTTGAGTGACACTTCATTTTTGTAAGTACTAGAAGTATTTTTAAAAATTGAAGAATTTACTGAAACGATTAGTTTTGTAGAATCTAATTTCCCAACTATAAGCTACTGGCATTTAGAAAAAAAGTCACTTAAAAAAGGGAAACTATAAATGGAAAGCCTGTGTTTAAGACACGCCCACTAAGCGCCCGTTTACTTTACGTTCAGATACTTCTGCTTTGCAAAGAAGAGACAGGAAAGTTCGGATTACAAGAGTACTTCTTTGTTTTAATTCTCTGAGAAAATGGAAGAAATCTGAATCACAGGTTCACAATGTGGCGAAATGAAGTTGAGAAACAATGATTTCAGTGATGCTCTGCCACCGCAGCGCGCCGTGCCTCTGCCTTCCGCCAGTCTGCGGCCCCCAGCTCATCACGCCACAGCATGAAACACAGAAGAGGAGGTTTCAGAACAACCCCTTTTAATGTACAAACATGAATTTAAAAAGTGTTTTAAAAAAATCACCTTTTTACATAATGTATATGCAAAACTGCTTTAAATACATGATTTTGGAAGAATTATTTACAAATGTATCAGTCTGTGGAACAATTCACAGACAAGGCATACATAGTGGCTTTACGTAACTGTTGCATCTCGACTTTGGGAGATAGAAATTTATTCGGCAGTACAGCAAACATAAAAACTGTGACAAAGCATCTTAAGGGCAACCAAAAATTTGATCCTCAAAAAAGTGTAAATATGAGGACTGCCAAAGTTCCTCCACAAGGACACACTCGCGTGATCCAGATGCCACCTGCAGCTGCTCTGCTGGGAAGGCTGACACAGGCTCCTTCCAGCGCACACGGCTGCGAGGGCAGCCCCTGCGACAGGGACAGCTGGGAACTACTGCCATCCAAAGAGTGAGTTAACCTAGAATTTTCTTTTTTTCAATTTTATTAATATTTTAAAAAATACATAAAAATACAACCATCCAATGTCTGAATAAATATATTTAACAAGTTGCAAGATAATACCTTATTTTACACAAAATTTTCAGCTTTAGAAATCTTGTTAAATAACTTCATTATTGTTATATATTTCATTTTTGCATTTTTGTAACAAAATAAAAACTCTGAAATTACATAGAAAAAAGACAAAATATTTTTGTCAAGGGATAAGATAGTCCACTGAAAACTTATTCACAATTCCACTGTAAACATTAATAAACATTAAAATATTTGCATAATTGTGTGCTCAAAAGTCCTATAAAAAGTGGAAGACTTATTACAACTGCAGTTTTCAGTCAACTACACTTCCTTTCACAATTTATTTTGTCCCATTTACACTTTTAAACCTGGGCACACTGCTGAACATATACTTTGGCAGTTCTATATAGCAAGTGCTTCCACGAAAATTGAAATTAAAAAAAAAAAAAATCAACAGTAACAATAATAATAAAAAAAGAGGAACACAAAGTAAACCCCTACTCGCAAGTGTTCAAACGCAGCTCCGTGAGAGTGCAGAAGCTACTCAGCGCTACTGTGCCGCTGCTCTTCACGTGCACTCGCTTGTCTATGATTCCTAGAACACCTGAAAGCGTCATTACACAAATTCAAATCTGCTAAGTGCCCTTTTCTTCTCTATCACAAAAAAGGAAAAAAAAAATACAGAGGAAAAATTATGACCAGTATGGCAGGCCGCCTAACCTTCAATTATTAATAAGCTTATTTTTTTGCAACAATAAAAAAGAAGAGAAGAGGGTATAGATACAACCCTGGAAAAATATACAGGATATACTTAGCTGGCTGAGTGCTTTCTGTGGTTGAATTTCAGGGTTTGGGAATTTATGTCCATGGCAGCAAACTGCTGGAAGGTGGAGACAGTGTTCATCACCTGCACTCTACAGCAAGTACATTTTGGGGGGGAGAGGATGAAGAAGGACTCATTCCAGTGTCTGATGAAGCCGATGACAGAGAGGCTCCTGTATGAGGCACTGCGGAATAAACACAGCCAGGTTAGACTCAAAAACGATTGCACAGAGACGCCTAAACGTAGATGCTAAATCAGGAGTGAGGTTCTGTTGCTTGATTTTTGAGACAGTCTCACAAAGCCCAGGCTGGTCCAAACATGACACATAGCCAAGGATGACCTGAAGTTCTGATTCTCTTCCCTCTACCCCCCAAGTGTTGGGGTTACAGGCATGCCCCACTACGCCTGGCTGGAGCTAGATTCTCAACACCAGTCACTTTAATCACAGGCCAACTGTGCCTCCACAGAGTAATGAGTGGTCTGCAAGTACTCTGCTCGGCTCAACTGAGTGAAGTCAGCTTTTGGCATTCAAGGGACTTAACAGCTCAGAAGAGACAGCACAGGCTGAGAAGGGGTGAGGAGGGAGGCAGCCAATGTGCTTAGCATGCACAGGCCCTGGGTTCCAGCCCAGCACTGCCAACAAAATCCACGTTTGAACAAAGCCAGACATCACAAAACGTAAGGACTGAAGAGAGATAATGTCTTGTGGCAGGTAGGGACAGGAGTGGGCAATGAACCCACAGCCTTATACCTGCGAGGTGAGCGCCTTCCACTGAGCTACTCCACCAGCCCTTCCGTGTGTTTGCAAATACTGCAACAACTTCTTACCATGTACAGTTTTTACTTAAAATGGACAAACTTCTAAAGTCCAATCTCTTTCCGTCCGCTCTACACTGTTTTCAGTATTAAAAACAGCTGGACTTAGGGTAGCATGTCCACGGCTACATGTAAGACAGGTCACCCCCAGAAGTTCTGCCAGAGGGAGAGCAATGCTCTAAACAAGGTCAGCACCGGCAGGTGTGCAACTGAGTGTAGTGATAAGGTAATGATGAGGAGATCTGGACCTACTCACTTCTGTGAGCCTCATAATAACAAATATGGGGCAGCCAGCAAATATCTGTGGAGCGGGGTGCACCCTCCCGAAAAAATACAACCTGCTTAGTAACTCACAAATTGTTTAAAATAGTTCACAGTCCTTTTAAGGGTGCCATTCTGTTCAGCTGCAGACACGCCCACCTCCAACAACAGGAGGAAACACCAACACTAAAAGCAGCATCTACTGCACACAGACTAAGAGATACATATAGACTTACAATAAAGTGACAGGGAATGAATCTGTGAGGAGAGAAACTTGAGTAGTATTACCTTCTCTGTCTTTCTTTTTCAATCTTTTCCTCCTTCTGTCGATGGTTGCAACTTCAGACTTCAAAGACATGTAGTACTTTCTGATTTCCTGTAGTTTCTCTTGGAGAAAAGAGATTCTCTCTGTACTGTTCATATTATCTAACTCATCTAGAAGAAAAGATATAATTATTTTGTTTTAAAATTCAGATTATGAGAGCAAAAAAGGCAATTCTATAAAAAGTCTCACTTGCAAATCATTAAAAGCTTTAGTTTATTATGACCTACATGAGTTCTTTTTTAAAAATAATTTATTTTGACTTTATGTGCATTGGTGTTTGCCTACATGTATATCTATGTGAGCAAGTCAGATCTTGGAGTAACAAGCAGTTGTGAGCTGCCATGTGGGTGCTGGGAATTGAACCTGGGCCCTCTGGAAGAACAGTCAGTGCTCCTAACTGCTGAGCCACCTCTCTAGTTTCCTTACTAAGTTAAATGTTTGATTAAGGGTTCTTTACCCCAAATATTCTTGTACTTAGTATTTTTAATTCTCAGCACCAGAGACAGTACTTCCATTTCAATGGTTTATACAAATCAAACCTCATACAACTCTGTGTAGCCTAGGTTGCCCTCAAACTTATCCTTCTTTATCCTTCTGAGTGCTGGGTTCCAGGGGTAAAACACACATTTCTTAACTAAAGATCTTGTCGTACTTGCCAAGTTGATGTATCCAAAACAACAAAATAGATTTTCATACGAGTGTACTGAAATGGCTACATAATTTATTAATGATTACTAACATTCTTCCAAATCGACATTTTAAGAACTGTTACACTTGCTGGGTGCATGGGGGCACACGCCTTTAATCCCAGCACTCACTGGGCAGAGGCAGGTGGATCTCTGAGTTCGAGGCCAACTTGGACTACAGAGTGAATTCCAGGACAGCCAGGGCTACAAAGAGAAACACTGTCTCAAAAACAAAACAAAACAAACAAACAAAAAAAAAAGAGTTCCACTCCGCACTCCACCCAGGCTGCCCGGAAACTCACTGAGCTGGAAGCTCCACTTGTACGTCCTCGGAGAGGAGTTTGGGTGCTTTTCTCTGTGTTTCTCTTTCTCGCCGTCTTTGATGTGAGGTGAGATTCTTGCAGGGGAGCGAGGCAGCTTCTGTGGCTTGGGCAGGCTAAGGTGCTTCACCGGTGTGCATTTGCTCGAGCTGTCGATGGCGGGAAGATCCTCACTGTCACTGCTTTGTCCTGCAAGGATAAGTTTACTCCAGCTGTGAGCCAAGAAAAACCTCCAATATCAAAATGCAGCAGAGGAAGCAATTACATTTCTCGGTATCACACAAATATACACATGCATACAAACAGGACTAAAATGGAAAAAGGAAAAATATATATCCATAACTAAAAAAAAAAACAAAAAAACAAAAAAAAAACTGCTTTAAAATGATGTATTATTGACCATTTTGTTTTCATTGTTTGGTTTCAGTTTTTTTGAAGCATGAGCTACAGGGCTGGTGAGATGGTTCAGCAGGTAAAAGCACTTCGTGCTGCCAGGACTAGTGATCTGAGCTTGATCTCAAGTACAGTTGAAAGGTAAGAACTGGCTCCTACAGGTGTCCTCTGACGCCCTTACACACACACACACACACACACACACACACACACACACACACACACACACACACACACTGTGGCAAGTGGGCACCTCTTTCAAAATTAAAAGAAAAAGAATGAGCTATGGTTCACAAAAGTAATGATAAAGATCTCACATGTTACTAGATAGAATAGCAGGGTTACAAAACAAACAGTATTTTGTAGCTCCACGAATGCTGAAACAAAACCTAAAAACAACCTAAAGAGAACCAACCCAACTATGCATGGGAAACACACAAATACATCACCCAACATTTTCTTCTTCTTTGACATTTACTTTTGAAAAATGATCTTGATACACAGCCCGGACTGGCCTAACACTCAGTGGCTAGTATCTAGTCCTGGCAGGACTGGAACTCAGGATCCTCCCGCCTCAGCTGCCTGTGTGCTCTGATGGCAGACATGCTGGCCTCTTGTCAATTTTTGATATATGTGCTAACAAAAGGAAACTCCTTTCCAACCCTGCCTCCCTCACCAATTCCTCCTAAGAGAGATCTTTTCAAGGCATAAGCCTTTTATCCTTTCCCTTTCTTTATTCTCAAAAGCCAAAGATTATACATGCAGTTTCCCAGCCTGTGTCCTATCCATGTCTGACCTTAGAAACAAGCTTTATTACTGTGTGTAAGATGTGAAGAGAGGCTACAGGCACAGGCTGCGGAAGTCTTAGCTTTCTGGGGACAGAACTCAGGTCGTCAGGATTGTGTGGCAAATGCTTTACTGGCCGAGCCATCTCACTGGCCTCTTATTGGGTCTTAGTTATAATGGTTATGTTCTCATTATTATTTGTCTTCAAAAGAAGGGTTTGCTTTGTAATGCTTTACTAGCAGGTACTGGGAATAACGGCCCTGATATCAAATACCCCTGTTCTTCAACTGTCAGTCTTCCAGCGGTACAGTCTTATCTGCCTTATCCTAGCCAAGCAGAGGGCGGGGCGGGGCATAAGTTCCCTTTGGTGGGAATCTCTTTCATCTCTTTAGCGTCAAATTTCTTAAAAAGGAATGTCACAGTGTCACTCTGATTTCCTTTTCTTCTAACTGTACCTGGAAGTCATTATGGACCAAATCAACATTTTAATCCATACAACCCCCACTGTTTACTGATATATAACTGCACTTCTGGTTTTTTTCCCTTGTGTGTGTGTGTTCATGTGTGTGTGTGTATTCATATGTGTGCATGTGCATGTAGGCCAGGTCACCCTCAGGCATTATTCCTCAAGAACTGTCCACTTTGTTTCCTGAAACATTCTCTCTCTGGGAAATGGAGCTCACTGGTCTGGCAGGCTGACTAGCAGTGAACCCATAGACCTGCCTGTCTCCCTTCCCCCAGCCTTGGGATTAATGGTGTGCAAAGGCACACGTGGTATTTTCTATCTGTGGATCAAAGTTCTCATGCCTGAACCACAGAACCTGACAGACAGCTCTCTCCCCAGGGGTTTTCTCACTTTGATTACTTCCCCACAGCCGTCTGATCCTATTGTGAAGAGACTTTCTCCTAAACACCACACTCCATCTGTTTTCCTCATAGTGGGTACCTACCCCTAGACATTCCCCCTGAGGCTTCTAACACTCTGCTGCTAGGTCCTATGTTCCACAGCTAAGCTGAGTTCTTAAACAACACTGATCACACTGACTCCTATTAATTTTACTGACCACATCCCTTGTCACTTTTTTTTTTTTAATCTCATTTAAAAAAAAAAAAAGATTTATTTACTTATTAGTATACATTGTTCTGCCTGACACTGAAAAGGGCACCGTTCTCATCATAGCCGGTTGTGGTTGCTGGGAATTGCACTGAGTACCTGTGGAAGAGCAGCCAGTGTTCTTAACCTCAGCCGACTCTCCAGCCTGTCACTCCCTTTTTTAATCAGAAGATCCTTCCAAAAGTAAAAGCCAATCACGGTCTTCTTTGATTTTTTTTAAAAATTGTACGTACATATTTTGCGTGTTAAGTGTGGGATTGCTGTGGCATGGCGCAGCTGTCCAGGTTAGAGGCCAACACTCGGTGTCCCGTAGCTCTGCACCTTGTGTAGAGGCAGGACCCCTCGCTGTCCGTCTCATGACATGCTCCAGCACAGCTGCTGCTGGAGCTCCTCCTGGCCCCACCTCCCCTGCACAGCAGGAGGGCTGGGGTTAAGCTGTGTGGCCAGCATATTGAGCTTTTCCCATGGGTTCTACTGAATTTGGAATGACGGGCTGGCACAGCTGGTGCATTTACCCTCTCAGACACTCGTTAGCTGCTTTCTTTTTTTAATCTTTAAGACTCCCCTCAACCCCCTGAGACAGGGTTTCTCTGTGTAGCCCTGGCTGTCCTGGAACTTGCTCTTTAGCACAGAGTGGCCTCAAATTTACAGAGATCTGGCTGCCTCTGCCTCCCAAGTGCTGGGATTAAAGGTGTGTACCACCGCCGCTCAGCAAATTTTAAACTTTTACTTGAAATAACTTCTAAACTTATAAAAACTTGTACAATACCAGAAACTTTCACTAACCCACTTGAGGCTAGTTGCCTCATCACATCCAAAAACTTAAGCATGAGATACTTTCACAGTCAGCACAATTTCTCATCTTAGTTATCCACTACCACATTACAAGTTACCCGGACACTACTGGTTCCAAACTACACACACTTAGGAGCTCACATGACTTCTGAGGGTCAAAATCTTGGAGCAGCCCGACTGCATAGCCTGCCTCAGGAAGACTGCGAGGGTGCAACTGAACTTTAATCCAGGGCTTTGGTCTCTGAAGATTTGACTGACTGACTGACTTGGCCACTAGTACAGGGTTTCAGGTTTTTCCTGGCCAATCACAAAATGCCTACAGCTCCTCATTGCACAGACTTCTCCAGAGACACTTGAGTATCTTTATGGTGTGGCAGCGACTTTCTACCGGGGTGAGGAGGACTCTGCAGGACCTTCTGTGATCTCTTCTTCAAAGGCACTGTCTCAGTTACTTTTTCTGTTGTTGCGATTAAAACAAAACAAACAAAACCCTGATAAAGCAAGCAGCTGGAGAGATAAAGGTTTGCCTGGACTCACAGCTCAAGCGTACGGTCCATCTTGGCAGGAAGTCAAATCGTCAGTGTTTGGGACAGCTGGCCACACTGTCAGGAAGCAGAGAAATGACCCGCCCGTGCGTAGCTCCTTTCCACCTTTCTGTACACGCCAGGGTCCAGCCTGGGGAGCGGGCTGCCCACAGTGGGTGAGCCCCCAACCCCACCTAACCTTACCACGATAACGCCCCACAGCCAGGTCCAGAGACTACATCTAGAAAAGCTCTCACAGTTGTGCCCAGGTCTGTCTCCTGGGATACTAGATCTTGTCAGGCTGACAGTCAGAGTCAACCATCACAGCCACATACCATCCCTGCACTGTTAGACATGGATCACTGACTTAATCTCAGTCAAGGGAAGGAAGCTAGTTTTCACTTCTTAAAGATGAATGGATTTCTGGCTTTATTTTTGGGTCACCATACGCCTATACAGCTATCAACATCAGGAACTCACAGGGATCACAATTTTCAGACCTTCCCTTGATCTACAGTAAAGTTGAAAGCCAGAAGGTCCAGGCGAGAAGCATGGACACACTTAGAGTCCCTGAAGTCTCTTTCAGTCCTAAATGTTTCCTCTCCTCGCGGCATTCCTGACCTCGCAGGGCGGAGTACTAGGAGCCTCTAACTGAGTGGGATGTCCTCCAGGCTGAGTGTGCTAGTGGTCCTGAGGTGTTGATTACATTCACACTATGCAACTCCGATGCAACTACCTCAGATGTTGTCATTCTGATCTCGTGGCATTCTGTCCCGTTGCACGTGGTTTTAATCTGTTCTGTCGCTATGCAGCCCAGGCTGGCTGCAGGCTCCTGGCCTTAAAGCACGTGCTGCCATTCCCAGCCGTGAGGACTCACGTTGATCACACCGAGGTGGTATCTCCAGACCTATAACCTATGAAATTACACACACGCCCTTTGTAATTTCTAATCCCGTCTTCTCTCCTGTCACCTTCTTTCCTTAGTCCTGAATCTGCACTGCAAGCCACTTCTGACTACCGAAACCTTTTGTAATTTCGGTCCTTTTGCTGGGATATGAACTATTTTACCTAAGGCATAGTCTAACAACAAACTTGTCAAAAATCAATCAGACTTATTTTGACTGTTTTATTCATACAGAAGCTTGCTTTTCATGTGTCTAATCTATTCTATTTCTTGTGATAAAAATTGACTTTACTTTTCAGGATGGAGAGCTGGTTCAGGGGTTAAGAGCACTTACTCTTCTTTCAGAGGACCCAGGTTCAATTCCCAGTACCCACAGGCGGCTCACAACCATCTGTAACTCTAGCTCCAGGGAATCGGATGTCCTCTTCTGAGCAATGTGGGGAGCTGGCGGGCACGGGGTGCATTAGCAAACATGCAGTGGAAACATTCGCATACATAAAATACAATAAATATTTCTGTAAAATTCATAAATCCTGGCTAAAGGAGAATATTCTCAGTATAAATGCAAGTTTACTTTTACCACAACAATTTTTTGCTTTTCTTCAAAATTCTGAGATACTACTATTCAACTACTTTCCACTAACTCATCATTTTGTTTGTTTGTTTGTTTTGTTTTTGGAAACAGGGTTTCTCTGTGTAGGCCTGGCTGTCCTGCAACTAGCTCTGTAAACCAGGCTGGCCTTGAACTCACAGAGATCTTCCTTCCTTTGCCTTTTAACTGATGAAATTAAGGTGTCTACCACCACAGCCCAGCTAACTAATAACTTTATCCCTCGAACTTCTAAGTAAAACTAATGGAAGGAGGAGGGCAGGGAGGTGCAGTGGGGACGAGTTCTTGTCATGCAAGCCTGAAGAACTGAGTTGGGTCCCCAGAACCCACATAAGGATGGAGGGAGAGAACTGACTGCACAGAGCTGCTCCCTGACCTCCACATACACTTGATGGCGTGTATATGCACACACATGTACACACAGATGCGCACACACACTCACCCTAAAAACACTACTTTCAGAACATAATAAACCCCACTTGTCTTTGGCTGACTCAAATGCTCAAGCCACGGCCCCATTGCTGTGCGAACACCAGCACAGGCATGCACCAACCTGCTCCGTTCTTTTCACTTTTGGCTGCAGCACTTGTTCGCTTTGGGGTTCGCTTTTGCTTTTTTGCCATTAATCCACCATTTCCATCGCTTGGCCTTTTCTGACCTGAAACGAAAGAAAAGAACAAACTTAAAAGAGGAAGCAGAGGTAGACAGGTCTGTCTCTGCACCTTCCCACACGACTGACTCCTCTGTCTTGTAAAAAAAGACAACAGTAATCATCCGCCATGTCTAACACCTGAGTTGTTGGTTTAAGACAAAAGCAATGTCCCCCTAGAAAGTCTTACCCTTCTCTCTGCTCTCTCTCTCTTGTACAATTATACTACAGGTACCAGGGGCAACGCTGGCTTCAAACCCGTTTGCTGCTTCCCTCTCACAGAGGCCTTCTTGAGATTCTTCGGCAATGCTATCAACTTCAATGGTTATATCGCTCTCACTCTTTACACTTCGGGACTCGTCTTGGCTGAGAGTAAGTGGGGAAGCTACTGAAAAGTTATGCTGTGCTACAGGAGGTAGGGCAGGTGGAACAGAAACCAGAGAGTTAGCCTCGGAGCCTTCAACTACCACATCCTCAATACTGGTCTTATCCTTCTCATCCAAATCATCCAAGTCTACCTCATGGCAAACCAAGGTCTCAGGCCCGATCAAAGGCATCACGTCCTCCTCTTTGAGTGGCGTGTGGACGGGTTCTTCAGCTGGACTGTCCACCTGTTCACTGGTTAGTTCTCGGATGCCCTGGTCTGGTTCTGCTCTCAGTGATGGCATCCCTTCATGTTCAAAGTGCTGCTCCAAGTGTGAGCCTCTCGTGCCCTCAGCTCCGACGCCATCGTTGGCCCTTTCTTGGGCTGTGCCCACTGTCGCTTCCATTCCATTCTCAAGTTTTATTTTCTTCTCTGGTGATGGCTGCCCCAGAATTTTCCGTTTCAGCTTCTTTTCTTTCTCGTATTGGTCGACTTCATCTTCAGTAGAAGAAAAGTTTTTACAGTCTAGTGAAGAAAACTCCAGGCTGTGAGTGTCCCCATGTGCTTCGCCGCCTGCCTCTTCCGGGCTGAACGACGATGTCTTCATCATTTCTAAAGAAAGCTCTCTTGTCTTGCTCCGCCTTCCCTTTCCTTTAGGAGACTTTTCCACCTGTCTCTTAGCTTCTTCCGCTTGATCCACTCTGTTTCCAAAGACGTGTCCTGTTTGATCACTGTCTTCCCCTTCTGCCTGCAGGGTCTCCAAGGGCAGCATCTGAGTCCTGTCGTTTTCTTTTAATATATGTACAATCTTTGGGTTTTCTTCATCTAGTTTATCATCATTTAAATTTTCACTTTTTTCCAATTCTTCTTTAATATCAGGAGAAAGTTCTTCACTTATCGAGCTCTTCTCCAAAGGGTCTTCTGTTTCACTCTCTGACGAACAAGAGTCTGTATCAAGAAGACATTGTGCAGATGGTCATAGTAAATACCAGTGTAATAAATAAAGTCCTACTAAATATACACAAGACATTTCCTACATAAAGTAAATCATAGCATTTGCACTGAAATGTAAGGGGAAGGACAAAATAAAAACGTGAAGATTCAGGATGTGGTGGAAAATGCCCTTAATCTCACCACAGGCAGGTGGATTTCTGACTTCAAGGCCATCCTAGACTACAGAGAGTTCCAGAACAGCCAGAGCTACACAGAAAAACCCTGTCTTGAAAAGCTAGCATGCTAAGTGTCTTGACTTAATACAAAGATTAACTACTTTGTGTCCTAAGGGAATTATTCTAAAATTATTCTAGAAAGAGATGTTTAAAATGAACAATGTGAATTCTCCATATTTTAAGCATTCTTATTAACACACAAAGTACAGGCAGCCCACTGCTTGCGGGACAAATTCACTTTATGTCAGAGAATTTTTCAAATGCTAAGGTAGCATTCTAAGACTATAAAACTATACAATGTAAAAATTACATACTTACAGTGCTTATACCCTCCCTCGACAATTTTAAAAAGGAAACACTAAGTGTGTTTGTTTTTTTAAAGACAGGTTGGGTTCTCAGTGTGTAGCCTGGCTTGCCTCTATAGAGTCAGGCATCCCTCAAATTCACAGAGATTTAAGGCGAGAGCCATTATACTTGGCAAAGTTTTATGTTTTTAGCTTGCTGTTTTGTTTTTGTTTTTTTTTTTATAGGATTTATTTTTATTTTATGAGCAGGAGTTTTGCATGGATGGAGTGTACTGTGTTCATGCCTGCTTCAAATGGATGGCTAACGAGGGTGTCACACGCCCCGAAGCTGGAGTTACAGGCTTTAGGAATGCCATGCGGGTACTGAGAACTGAACTCCAGGCTTTGGCAAGAACAGCAACTGCCATTACTCAGGCCTCTGAATGATTATGTGAAAATGGTGTATAATCTCTTTGTGGTTTTAGTAAAAATACAATGTAGAATTCCCTTTTCTCACATTCAAACATTCTTCAGTTACACAGGTCTCTGACCCGGATGGGGATGGTTGTGCCGGCCGTACAGGACATGCCTCCTGAAACAGAACCCACTTCCAAGAAACCTTGCGTTTGCATGTGATGGGAACCTGCCAGCAGGCGGCACACAGGCGGAAAGACACCCTTTCATGGCCTACGCGCTGCAGCTAATGGTGAGCCTATTCTTTGGTAGTTTCTCTTTTTAAGGAGAGTCATTTTATACCACCATTTAAAGTCTCTTAAGCTTCATGGAAAAAGTGAAGCTAGAAAAATGAAGGGAAAGATTAAAGCAGAGTAAAATCTCTCACCAGTGCTGACCACAGAGCACTCCTCGCCCATTAGCCTGTGCCCTCAACAAGCCTCAGCTTGGTTAGCAGGCTGGAGGGGTCGAGACACTGATGCATCGTGTGGTTTGAAGCAGAACACAGCAAACACCAGGGTTCATGCATTGTTTCACCCCCACAGTTAAACTGGCTGTATCTAAAATCCTTATGACCGATGGTATCCTAGGTTAGCATCACTAGAGTTTAAATTAGAAAATACAACAAAGCAAGGTGCCAATTAAATTTTGCAGTTTTAATCATGTTAGGTTAAAAATTGGGAAAGCCTGCTATGCTTTTCACAAAGTGGCCATCATGGGCCACCTCGTTATATTTTGGTCAATGGCGCTTGTCACCCAGGGACACGGTAGCCCCTTAGATTGGTTAAGCACCCTCTAATGACTCTTGTACAAGGGTGAAGCCCTTCTTAGAATGTGTCCCCCGTTAAGTGACACATATGCATATAAATATGTTTTAAAAGTGAGCAACCCTTAAACCTGAGCCCCTGCTGTTTCACTGGAGCCATGGGCATGGGTGGTACCTGATTTCCCCTCACTGTTTGACGTCTTAGACAAGCTGTATGGCATGCTTGACGAAAAGGCGGATTTTAAAGGAGGTCTTCCCCGTTTGGACTTCTGCCTCTCTTCATCCCTCTTTTCGTCCTTTTCACTATCTTCTTTATTCTGGGGAAGGACAAGAAAATCCATGAGAAGGGCCAAGTCCTTTCAAAAATAAACATTTTTGAACATTCTATTTCTCCAAGAAAATCTATTCACTCCAAATCAAAAGGTCAGTTAATTTAAATGTCAAATCCTAATATGTGCTTGGAGAAAAATGTAGAACAGATTTCTAACCTATTCATATGAATACAATCACTCCCCCTGATTCCTCATTTCCCGCCAAGCAAATGAAAGGCATCAGAAACACACAAGACACCAGGCAGACCCCTACAGCAGGGACTGTGGATGGAAAGGGTGGGCAAGTGGGCAGTGGGCCAGCCGACAGGCCTGACACTGTGGAGACGGAAGTAAGAGATTTCCAGGGGTTCTCTGTGTCGTTCTAATGATGATGACAGTTATGCATCTGCCCAAACCTTCTGGGGGCACAAAGACCCAGAGATGTCTTACGGCATTGTAAACCATGGGTGTTTACCACTGTAACAAATGGACCACTTCGGTGACGGTAAGGGGTTGACAGTGAATGACCACACCCAAATAGGCAATGGGCATACCCGAAATTCCTATACCTTATTTTCACTATGAAGGTAAGATGACTGAAAAACAGTATCTTACAGAAAAGACACAACTAGTGTAATTCCTGTATGTTTCTATCGTAAGTGATATGAATGAATGAACATACCTTAACTTTTTTCTTTTGTTTTTTCTTTGGTCCACCTTTGTCCAAGGGCCAGATTATCCTGTCAGCCTTTACCCATTCATCGTATCTTAAAGAAAAAGTTTAGCTTTCACAATGATATCATGATATCCTACCTGAAATATATTCACACGCACACACGCACGCACGCACGCACGCACGCACACCCCTCCACACACCTGCACACTCAATCAGTGAGGTAAAAAGTCTGTTTCTAGCGATGGCAAAGAATGAACAGTCTAGTAGCTGTTGGCAAGGCATGGTAGCAGCTGTCCCAGGTTCTCAGTACAGCCGTTGTGGCGCATGGGTGGCAGAAGCAGGAAGTTCTCTGTGAGTTCGAGGACTGCCTGCTCTACAAAGGAAGTTCCAGGACAGCCAAATCTACACAAAGAAACCCTTTCGTACCCCTCCCCCCAAAAAAGAGGTTCAGAGAGCAGTCTGGGTAAGCAATCTCCTGATTCTAAACTACTTGAACTGCTTTGTGTTTCCATTCTCGCAATCTGAACTTTCTTTTTGGTTTTTCAAGACAAGGTTTCTCTGTTTTAGCTTTGGTTGAACTCATTCTATAGATCAAGCTGGCCTCGAACTCAGAGATCTACCTGCCTCTGCCTCCCGAGTGCTGGGATCAAAGGTGTGCACCATCACCACCCAGCCACAATCTGAATTTATAAGCAAATTTTAACTAAAATTCATTCTGATAATTAAAAGATGTCAATTTGTAAGCAATCAGCTCCCAAACATTTATAGTCCCTTTTTTTTCCCTAGAGCTCTAGCATCTATTATTCATAATAAAACTTTATTATGAAATTATAACAATGTTATAATTATAACTTCAGTCTTAAATTATTTAGGAATTATTTAAGAATATTTATATTCAATTTAATTTTCTTTGTCTACATTTGTTTCCTTTAGCCCAAGCTGAAGACTCATTTTTCTTGCACCTTTCTGCAAAACACTGTCAACACTTGAATTTCAACATAAATTACTAGTAAGAGACATTACTAGTAAGGGACAAATAGAATACCCAGAACTAAATAACACTTCTTGTGTTATATAAATGCACAGATATTTATTGCATTCAATAACACTGTAAACTAGTTGCCATGAAGACATGTAAAGCACATGGCTCCAGTATGTACAGGTTTTTAGCTGCCCTGGTACCATGATGTCTATACTACAGCTCAAAAGCCATTTCCTCGCAAATTATACAATAGTTAAACCTTTTGGAACAGAGATGACTATTAATACCTTATTTATAAATACTTCTTAACTTGGAATTTAGACTTTTACTGGGGGCCTACCAACATACCAGGCTCTATAGAATACATAGAGAAAAGATAGAACAGGACCTTGCTTTCATGTCTGATATAAAAAATATATCCTAGAGAGTTAAATATAGTCTGGTAAGTGCAATAAGACAGACATATACTTGATCTAGGGCTAAAAAGAAGAAAACACCTTACTCCTGAATTCCCTAGGACACATCAGACCGAACAAGGCCCTCTCTGGAGGACCTCAGCATGGTCTGCGCCGGCCTGGTCTGAGGGGTAAATCAGGCAGGTATTAGCAGCTACATGGGCTCCTCTCACACTTGAATTTTAGATGCTCCTATTTTAGAAATGGGGCTGAATCATCTAGAAACTATACAGCCAGAATTATACTAGCTTTTAGGAAGATGTATGGACAACAAAAAGTCATGGCTATCAGAGCGTGACTAATGAGCATGTGACAAAGGACTAGTAGAGTCATCAAGGAAAGCGAGAAGAGTGACAGGAAAGAGAAATTCTAGAGGGCATGACAGGGATGCACACAGCCAGAGTAGATGGCTGTGCACGAACTCTGGGGGGAAAGTGGATGACGTGCTGCAGCCGCCAGAGGTGGGGAGTGAACTGACCAGGCTAGCCTGCTGAGTTACTCCGACCCTCGGAAGCAGTGCTGACAGCTAGCACACAGCCCTTGCTACGTGCTGCCCATCGCTCTATGCACTTCGAATGCTAGCTAACGTGAGGATCATAAATCTACAACTCATTGGTAAAGTAAGAACTCAAAGTCCCCAATCTGGGCTTGAGAGGTGGTTCAGAGTATAAGAGCATTGGCTGTTCCTGCAAAGGCCCTGAGTTCAATTCCCAGCAACCACAGGGTGGCTCACGGCCATCTAGAGTGAGATGTGGTGCCCTCTTCTGGCGTGCAGGTGTACATGCGGGCAGAACACTGTATGAATAATAAATGGTTAAAATCTTTTTTTTTTTTTTTTTTTTTTAAAGTACCCAATCGGGAGAGGAGGAAATGGAGTCATGACAGAGCATACAGCTAGAATGTGGAAAAGGCGGTGACAATATGGCTCCACGTCAACCCAGAGCAGCTGCAACAGAGTTTAATTACTTAGCCAACTCAAAGCTATTACAGCGCCTGACACTGGCTTGACTTGTACAAAAGGGAACAAAGACGCACACAGCCTGGGCTCTGGCCTCGCTCCCTGACTGTTCTGCAGGGTCTTTGGAGTTCTGCACTGTCCCTGTTTCCTGAGGTGGAGCCTGAGCATCCACAGACTCAGCCTCACCCTGGCCTCTTGTGTTCCGCCTCCCTGTAAAAGAGTGACAAACTCGTTCCAATGCCAGATCCTGCTGGACAGTTTACCAAACGCACAAGGGCTCCCTACCACGCTGCTCTTTGCTAAGCACCTGGCAGAATGAGCTTCATTGCTTACCTGACATTCCATCCATAATAATGCACCAGGTACAGAACCTCCCCGTCATCCATCTCGGTGCCTTTAATGCTGGCTTCATAAATTTTCTGAGTTTTTCCTCGTCCATACTTCACTTTCACTTTGGTTCCTGTCAGGCAAGGCTCTGTGCTGTCCTCATCTTCCTCCCCTTCCGAGTCACATTTGCTTTCAGTTTCTTCCCTGCAGTGAATTACAACAGTGACAATGATACTAAGAGCTTAATGGAGGGCAAGACAGTAAGTGATAAGAGATCCAGCATGTAGAGTCTTTACAACCTAAGTTTACCTTGGTGACATGTCAGTGAAGGAGGAGGAGAAGAAGGAGGAGAAGGAGAAGATTTCATGGACTACTCACTAAGGAATTTATTATGTAAAGGTGCACTGTACAGACAGAAACCCACACTTCATAAAGGCCAATCCATAATCACAGTTAATGATGATACTGACTCAACAAATCGCTTTTAAACCAAAAACTAAAAAACAAAACAAAACAAAAACCCATATGCCCAGGAATGGCCTTTGGGATTCATTCAAGTGCCACCTTACTTTTGAGACCTTTCTAAAGCTATTTTGTAAATTCTTCCAACTAATTATCTTAAATCTACTTTAGCACTCTTGTCTTCTCATTTTAGAAAGGTTCTTAGACTGTTCAGTGGGTAAAATAATGAACAAAGGCTACCTACCTTCGCAACCTTGTCTTTTAAACTAGTTACTGTTTTAAACATGAAGCTACTTGTTAAAACTGCAGGAGAGTGATGGTAGAACAAAGCTTTATAAGTTTATGTTGATTTCGATTTGTAACTCCTCTCCCAGCAGCTTTTGTTTCAATAAGTAAACATAAAGGGAATTCATATGAGAAGTCCAGCACTTTTTAAAACACTGTACCCATAAAGTGAGAGTATCTGCCATCTATTAACCTCAAGGACGACTGAGGTGTTCTAAGAAGTTCAAAAGCTTCAGAAAGGGTCTACAGTAAACACAGGCCATCAGGCACACACAGGCCCTGGGTACATGACTGAAGCTTTCGTAGCTCGTTTGCTTTAAGAATATTTGCTCTCCAGGGATACTTCTCATAAATCTCCTTAAGAAATCATCTCAAAACACTGGAGAAAACCTACTTAAAATGGAAATCTTCATGACTCCTGATACAGACTGAGATATGTGCTGTCTGTTGTTTGTATACTCAACTTTCACTTAATAAAACAATATTATCCTTTGCACTGAAGATTGACGCTGTTCTAAAATACGTGCTCCATTTATGTACCAAGTATGAAGCATTTTAGCTATGTATTTATTCACATACACTCATTATTACTAGAACCTACTTTTTAATTTTAATTAGAACCTTTGTTTAATTTACTGTTTTAAATATTTAAATTCCTTACTCATTATTCTCAGCTCCAAATTATTTGCTGCTCCCTTTTAAATCCTATTTGTACTTGGCTCTACAACTTTTTAAACTATTCCACAGACAACTGCAGCAGCTCACTCACGCGTCTCTTCACAGAGCACTGAGCACCTCTGCTGTTTCACCAATCACTACGTTTTTAACCTCTAACTCTCCCAATGGCTTATTTGCAAATAGTGTCCACTATCATTCAGACACAGCAGACCACTTTCTCCAAATTTGGCCTAAGATCGCAAACTTCTAGAACATGTAGCATTCCATGGTAAAATAACTACAAAATAATTGGAGAAAAGCTTCTATTTTTAAGTAGTGTGTTATGCTTTTGTTTTACACTTGTTTTTTAGTAATACCTAACAATTAGTAAATTCATCTGATCACATGTACAGAACGGCCCACTACACAGCCTGGCGTAACATTACCTTGATCTAGCTGAACTGCCTGGCTCTGGGCTACTAAGTCACTTCAATCCATGCAAGTCTAATACATGGAAAAAAATACAGTACTCACTCAACAGCAAACAGAATGGACACTAAGATGCCGGAATTTACCGATGAGATGTGGGGCAAGAACGCATTTTCCCAGCTAGATCGGGGTGCATGCCACTTACTCTACCACGGTGACTTGAAAAAGGAAAGTGTCTTAAATAAAGCTGACACACAGAAACATCTGCAGGACTGTGCACCCTGTTAGCTTTCCCACATTGTACCTTTTTTAAAATGGAATTTTTGCTGTCGCTGTTTCCTCTTGTCCACTTCCTCCATTTTTCTCCAGCTCCCTTCCCTGCTGTCAACTGCAGGACCTTTCTTTTGACTGGGTGGCGCAGCCTTCTGTGAGGCCACTGTTTAGGGCACAAGTGCTATTAAAATGGTGCGACCAGTATATTCTCCAATTCCGAAAGGCGATACACATCATCTTCACAATGTGTCTCACCTTCATTAGACAGAGGAACGGAAGTCCCAATAAGAAGACATTCCCTCACACCTGAATCTCTAAGCAGGAACAAAGTGCTGCTGGACCCCAGACAGGTGCTTCTGGAGAACAGACATAAGACAATGTACCTCTCTTGGCTTTTCTCTTCCTCTTCATCTGACTCTTTCTCAGAATCCTCTTGCTTTTTAATTTTCTTCTCTTTGTGCTTTGGTGTACTTTTCCTCCCGAGTAGCAGCTCATTTTCTTTTTTCTCTGCTGTTTCATAGTCATCACCGACATCCTTATTTTCTATGTCATCTTTGACGAATTGGTCTTCTATTTTCTCTTCTTCTATTTCCTTTTTAATAGAATTTGCATCTCGAACAATTTTCCTTCGCCCCTAGTAGAAGGATAAAAGCTTTAAGAGAGCTAACAGTACAAAGAAAGACACCATTTCAGCTTTTTCTGAAGCCTCGCGGCAGTGACTCTCCTGACTCCCACTTGAGAGCGGAATCTGACATGGTATGTACTGTTCTCTTCCTTTTGGAAGTAAGAGAATAACCAATACAAATCTCTTGATTTTGTCCAACATTACCAGGGTCCCTGGACACATAATACAGAAGGAAATTCTTTTTCCCTGGGGTATGCAGAACAGCTCAGGGGAAATGGAGTGAGTGCAAAGCCCTGGTTGGGCACCTAGCACCCCTCCCCAACCCCCACAGAATCTTTGCTCACAGTGTCTCATCCCATTTTGTTTGGCAGTATTGGGGCCTTGCACATACTTAGCAAGTGGTCTCTCAAGGGTTTCATCCCTAACCGTTTACCTGTTGACTACGAGAGAAAACATTAACTGAATTATCTATATGTCAATGATAGAATTCCCTACTAATAATGTTGGGATGGCAGGATGGTTCGAAGAGTAAAGATACATACTCGCCACCAAGCCTGATGACATGAGTTCATGACCTCCTTGCCTCACATGGTGGAAAGACAAAGTAACTTCCATAAATTGTCCTCTGAACGTCACATATGGGAATGCACACTCACATGCATGCATAAATATGCACGCGCGCGCGCACACACACACACACACATGCACGACACACACAAATGTTTAAAAAAATATTTAAGTTAGTAATGATAACCTTCATAAATCTGCCCCCTTGACTTATAGCCTCTATGAAAGCTCTGTGATCTCCGATCTTATCATTTATTTAAATAAAAATCGAATATCAATAGATTTTATTACAACAAGAAGAAAATATGAGTATATTTATGTGTGATTATGCTTTAAGGACCTAATGGCATCAGTGTTTAAAACGTGAGCTTTTGGGCTGAGGAGGTAGCTCAGTATTTAAGAGCACTGGCCGCTCCTCCACAAGGAGGATTTAAGAGCACTGGCCGCTCCTCCACAAGTTTGCTTCTGAGCACCCTTTCTTACAGCTGCTTGTAACAGCAGCTCTGGAGGATTCGCCACCCTCTTCAGGGCTCTGAGGGTGGCCACAACCAAGGGAAACAAGTACATTCACATAAAACCTAACTAACTAACTGACCAATCAACCACCCAATCACCCACCCAACCAACTAACTAGTGAGATGTTTTTTCAACCAGCACCAAGAGCATCCATGAGGTAGCAGGAGGCACTTGTCCTGTTCTCTAGTGGGTCTCTACCAAACCTCTTGCTTGTCACCTGACTGTAAAAGTGGTGAGCCTTCTCAAGACATTCTAAATTTTCCCTTCTTGTCAACTTGATGGCGATGGCAGAAGACTTTCCTCCTGCACTTAAAATGGAAAGGATTTAAAAGAGAGAGAGAAAAGGAGCTGGGGAGGTGACTCAGCATGGAAGAGTGCTTGCTCTGCAGATGCGAGGACCTGAGTTCATATTCCTGCGCCCACCATTAAAACTAAGCCGCACATGCACCCATAACCCCAGTGCTGGGGGTTAGGGAAAGGGGCAGAAGAGAATTGCTGGCCATAGCTCACCTCCAGGGACTGTCTCAAGGGACTAAGGCAGAGAGAGATGGAGCAAGACACCTAACCTCTCCCACGGCCTCTGAATTTGCAGATACACACATACACACGCACACACGCACAAACTCTAAAACAAAAACAGTTCAACAAGGCGTGATATAGTTTAACCCTATAATTCCAACACTTGGAAAATGGAGACTAGAAGGTCAAAAGTTCAAAGTTAGCCATAGCTACATAGTGAGCTGAGTCTAGCCTAGGCTATATGAGTCCCTCTCACATAACAAAACTTTAAAATAAAAATAAACTTAAATTTACACCTTTTACGAAATTCGTGAAAAGATTTCATTCATTAGATGACAGAATGGTCAGTTTTTAAAAACAGGATTTCCAGGCTGGAGAGATGGCTCAGTGGGTAGGAGCTCAGTCTGCTTGTCCAGAGGACCGGGGTTCAATTCCCAGAACTGTCTGGTGCTCCACTTCCAGGAGGCCCGGCACCCTCACACAGACATGCGTGCAGGTGAAACACCAGTGCACACACCACAAAAACAAATCACGGAGAACGAAACAGGACTTTTGGGCTGAAGAGATGGCTCAGGAGTTAAGAGCACTTAGTGTTCTTGCAAAGGACCTGACCCACAAGGCAGTTTAAAGTCTTCTGTAACTCTAGTTCCAGAGGACCTGGTACCCCTTCCTGGCCTCTGTGGGCTCCAGGTATGCGCGTGTTGTGCAGACATACATTCAGGCCAACACCAATTCACATAAAATAAAAAGAAACAATTCTTTTTAAGAAGAGGAAAAGAAAAACAAACCAACCAACCAACCCAGGATTTCTCAGCAACTACACGAGAAGATAACTTCACTTCACTTCGCCAACAAATGAGATACATCAGGAACTGAAAGCCGGGCCTGGGGGCACATGCCTTTAATCCCAGCACTGGGAGGCAGAAGCAAGCAGAGTTGGAGGCCAGCATGGTCCAGCAGAGCCGGAAATACATACTGGAGAAAACTTGTCTCAAAAAATAAAAATTCAAAAAAAAAAAAGAACTGATTTCTTTGCTGGAGTAGCTGCCCATAAAATGATAAATCTTGCTATGCCGCTATCACTGGGCATGGATCACGAGAGGGAGTGGTAGTCCTTCCTAAAACTTTAATCAATGGAGAGGAACACGGGGGGGGGGGGGCACGGGGAGATAAAAATCAATGTCCGCACACACAAAGCTGTACAGTATGCAGGCAGATTTACAGGAAGCACAGGAGGCACCAAGAGGCAATTCATTCAACCACTTAGTGAGCACTTTCTACGCGCTGTGCTTCTGTCTTCAACATCCATCCTTGCCTTCAAGGGATGCAACTTCAGTACAGAGGGAGAAGGAGAGATCAAACTAACTCAGATTGTCAAGTACATGCCAGATATGAGGATGAGAAGGAGGTAGGGAGCAATCTCAGGTAGAGCAGCCGGTGCAGGTGTCACTGAGGTGACACTTTAGCAAGGAACTTGAGCAGAGTACATGGGACTGAGCCAGACAGCAAAGGCCTGAGCAGATGGCAAGAGAAAGAAGTGAATGTATACAAGGGGTGTGTGTGTGTGTGTGTGTGTGTGTGTGTGTGTGTGTGTGTGTGTGTGTGTTGTTTTTGTCTGTCTGGTTTGGTTTTTACGACAGGGTTTCATGCTGTGGTTCAGGCTGGCCTGGACCATGGTGTGTGGCTGAGGTTGAACTCATGACAAACCTTTTGCCTTGGGATCCTGACAGCTGTGATTATAGGCAGGAGCCACCAGGCCTGGGAGGAAGAGTTTGGCAAGCAGGAGTAATCTGCTGCCCATAGAGAAAGGTCGCTATAATAACCTTACTGCAACATTACTAAGTACTGGAATATAAAATAGGTTTTCTGCACAAATTTTTGCATATGTAAATATCCACAATAAAACTTTTAAAATAATGCTTGGAGCAGATGAAATTAGTAAAAACTCACTCTTGGAGACTTTAGTTCTACGTCTTCTCTGTCACTTTCACTGTTTGAATCAGTATTCTCCTCAGGCTCACTCTTCAATTCCATTAAAGGCATTTCCTGGTCCACTTTTACAGCCTCTTCCATTGATTCTTCGAAGTCTTTTTTTTCCACTTTTACTTTTGGTTCATGGTGGTGAATAGTTCTGAACTGAATATTTGCAGAGCGGCAGTACTCCTCAAAACCATAGAGATACCTAGACACACAATGTTTCAGCTTCAGAAATCTGAGTTTTTGCATTTCACTTGACTATTAGGCAAATAAACAGTAAAAAGCACACCACTTAAAAGTATTCCTTTTATGTTAGCAATTTCTGAATGCCTTTGATACAATCAACAGAAATGCTGTCAACTGGAAACTGTCCTGAGAACCTGAGACACTGACAACTCAAAAGAGCCACCGCAGAGCACTGTTCTAGCCAGTCCAGTGGTTCTCAACCAGTGGCTCCCAAACCCTTTGGGAGGGTCAAATGACCCTTCACAGGGGTTGCATATCATATATCCTGCATACCAGATATTTACCTTAGGATTCATAACAGTAGCAAAATTATCGTCATGAAGTAACGAGGAAAAGAATTTCATGGTCAAGGATTACCACAAGCTGAGGAGCTGTGTTACAGAGTTAGGGTGTCAGGACGGTAGAGACCCTCTGCTCGAGAACATGTAGAGAACCAAAACTGTAGACCAGGACCTGCAGCTGCGCGTGAGGCGCACGCCTGCATGCTGCACCCCAGCCTTGAAGAGGAAATCAGCATTGCATGTGAAATGGAGCAAAGTAGGCTATAGACTCTGAATCCTTTCCAGTCACACGGGCCGACTAGCCCAACCTTTAACATTTATGTCCCTTGTGGAGTGTCAATGCTGGTCCCTGTAAATGCTTGTTTGTTTGTTTAGTGTGTGGTTTCAAGACAGTTTCTCTGTAGCCCTGGCTGTCCAGGAACTCACTCTGTAGACCGGGCTAAACTCAGAGATCCATCTGCCTCTGGAATCCTGGGATTAAAGGTGTGTGCCACCATACCTCACTGATATTTCTTCTTCTTCCTTTTTTTTTTAATATACTTTTTTTTGTTGATTCACTATATATTTCATATCATGTACTCCAATCCCAGCTTATCTCCATCTCTTCATACTCTCTCTGCCCTGGCAACCTCCCACGAAAAGAAACCAAAACCAAAACCTAAGCCAAAAACAAAGACCCAAAACAAAACAAAATCTTGCAATGGATGCTGTGGCCTCTCACGATTCATCACATAGTATAACTTTTCCCCAAACAGCTTTACTTGTTAATATTCATTCTTTAATCTTCGAAGCTGGACTACTTACTTTCTATAAGCAGTTTTTACATTGTAGGAAGCAGCTGAATTCAAAATTGGAATGCCAAGGTCCATATAAATTTGCTTCCACACAGCACCACTGTCAATCTGGAAAATTAAGATTTTTGTTAACAACTGTCAGAGGAAATAACCATTACAGCAGCACTCTGTGCTCTTTAAGAAAATGTGTAGGTCGCTGCAACGTCAAACAAAGTTCTCATCACACGAACACTTAGGAGTGCTCTACTTACATTGTCACATCCCCCCTGGTGGTAGACCAGTCTGAAGAGCTTGAAGAGATTGAGGTCCTTATAGCCCAAAACAGGTGGTTTGTTGATGGGAGTGCCTTTTTTAAATGCCAGAAGGAAAAAGAAAGTGTTTAGTCAAATAAAGAGTGCCAGTGTTTGAAGTGCAGATACTGACTTCTGAATCAAGAACATTTACTTACTATAGATGCACCCTGAGCAGGCCTTAACACACAAGGCTCCTGTGTTCTCTGTGCAATTTTGTGGGCTCTCTGAATTTTACGAGCTGCACATTCCTATGACCACTCAAGGTGCCTCTACACCAAGGAAATGGCTAAAATGAAATTAAAAATAGGGGCTGCTAGCTGTGCTCGCACTGGCGGGTCGCTGCAGCAGGAGCGTACGCAGCAGGAAAGCTGTAGCTCCAGCCTTGCCGCTCACACACAGGAAGCTGCATGCACTTCTCTGCAGGGTTTTTCAAAGACACAGGATATCTGGAGCCAAATTCCTCGAGGACTTTCTAGGGCTACAAACTGCCAGAGTGTGATGATTTATAATGGTTCTATTTCTTTTCCCTCTACTGGAAATCCTATTGCACTCAGAAAGAGGCCGAGTCCACTCTCTTGAGCGTAAGGCGCTGAGGATCAGGTGAGCTTACTCTCCATGAGCACAGCATTTTACCACTGAAATAAATTACTATGCAGAGTAATGCTATGATTGGTCACTTTTTATTTCGGACTATTTTAATCTTTTTATAAATACAAGGGAAACCAAATTTAATTATAGAAACACTGATTTCCTGTGTATTCTACTTAAAAGAGCTTGTTTTTATTTCCAACATTTAACTGACATCAGGTACAACTGATTCATAGGCTTTCTTCGGAATACAAGGCACTCCTAATAAGGCAGAAACAATGCACATACCTCAAACATAAAGCTATTAAAAAAAAAAATGACATACCTCTGTCTTCCATAAACTTATAAAGCTGTTGGAGGAAGTTGTCCCTCTCTTCAGGATCAGGCTCTTCCTCGGGCTGTAAAGGCAAGCACAGTGAGCAGAAAGAGACACAATGTTATTGTTGTTAATGTGAAGCCCTGATGTTTCATTTTAATGCTTTGGATATTTCTGCTGTTCTGGGGCTCGAACTCTAGGCCTCCCAAATGGTGGGAAAGTGCTCCACTGACTCCATCCCCAGCCCTTAATTCACAAGCTGGTGACATGGACCTGCTGCAAATGTCCACCAGTCTCTACCCTTCATCTCACCTTCTACTCTGACCCTGCCTTGAACATCATCAAAGACTAGTAAAACTCAAGAGGAAAAGATTCCAGAATGGAGCAAGAGGACTGTTTTTACTTCATTTGACTTTATTTGGGGGAAAAACAAGAATGTCATATGGCCCATACAAATATATTGGGAGATAAGCATGGTAATGCCAAAAATATTTTTATATAAAATATCATCACTGAATGTATATAAACAAAGGTTGGAAAGGCAGTGGCAACAGTTTTGTGTTTAGATGAGACTTATTTTTTCATTAATCTGAAATTCATTCAAGTAAATCATAAAAATTGTATTTTGGACCAGATCTCATGACCTCCTTGTCTCCCCCTAGCCTGCTTTCTCTACTGCTTTCCTTGCTCTGTATTTGCTACTGTAACCTTTTAAAAGCATTTATAGACAATATTGTATCAGATCACAATGTCAAAAGGCTGGATACTCTGCCTCAAAGCAAAACCAAAAGAACTGTTTATCAGCAAAGAAAGAAGCCACATAATTACTTAGTTGGGCATGTGCACTTCTGTAAAAAATAAAATTCCAATCCCCAACTATCTAAGTGTTCCTATTTATTAATTATGTAAATCTAATAGTATTTTCCTATAATATTATTATGGATTAAAACAAAATATCGTAGGGTTGACAAGATGGCTGAGTGGGGGAAGGCATTATCCCTATGCTTGACAATAAGAGTTTAATCCCGCCCACATGGCGGAAGAAGAACTGACTCCCACAAGTTACCATCTTACCTTCATACTCATGCCGTGGCTCACATGCACATACACATGTGTTATAAAAATAAAATATCTTTTGGTAGATTACCTATAAATATATATTTGTAGTTTTTATGTTTTTGTTTTGAGACAGGGTCACTAGCAGGACAAGCTAACCTCAGCTCTGTAGGTAAGGATGACCTTGAACTCTTGATTTGCCTGTTCTCACCTCCCACATGCTGAGACTGTAAACCTACACCACGTCTGACTTATGGAAATTATTTAAATCTCAGCAGTACTATGGAGAAACTAATAAATGGGGCTGGAGACAGCTCAAAGGTTAAGAACACTGGCTGTTCTTCCAAAGGTCCTGAGTTCAATTCCCAGCATGGTGGCTCACAACCATCTATAGTAAGATCTGGTGTACAGGTAGAATGCTGAATGAATGAATGAATGAATGAATGAATGAATGAATGAATGAATGAATGAATAAATAATTAAATAAATAAAACCACTAATGTTTCTCCCACATAAAGGATCATAACTTTGGAAAATAATGTTCCTATGTTCTAAGAGAGTAATTCAGATTTTTGTGTTTTAAAAACCATGTTCTGATAAAAAGCAATGTTCAGGCAATAAATATTGATTGTTCGGTGCCTAAAAGACTACAGGCACTTTAAAAATCGTGTTATCCTTTAAGAATTTTAATACCAAATACTACAGTCAGTGATCAATGACCGTGTAGTAGATTAAAATACAGATTTCTGTGAGTGTAAGCCCAACCCGGTCTACAGTGAGTGCTATAACAACCAGAAGTACGTTGTTAGACTCTGCCTCAAAAACAAATAAATAAATAAATAAATAAATACATACATACATACAAGTTGTTCCCCAATACAAGCAAACAAAATCAACCCACTAACTGCACAAATAAGGTTGCATCTAGCTATGCCAAATTCTTCAAGATTGAGTATATGCTTTTACAGATTAAAAATTGACAGTTTAGAAGGGCATAGGAGGAGATGAGGGAAGGAGGGTGGGACTGGGAGGGGAGGAGGAAGGGCCTAGAGCTAGGAAACAAAGTGAATAAACTGTAATTAATATAAAAATAAAAATGTAATTAAAAAATTGACAGTTTCAAGGCATTAAATTAACATATAATAGTACTTTAGGCTCTGTGAGGAAATGTGCCACAAAACTAAGTTTAGGCCCAGTTCTAAGACAGAAACATAAAACAAGAAATTCAATTTACATATATCTTCTCTTTCTTTTTCTTTCATTCTCTCTCTCTCTCTCTCTCTCTCACTCTCTCTCTCTCTCTCTCTTCCAAGATAAGGTTTCTCTGTGTAGCCTTGGCTGTCCTGGAGTAGCTCTGTAGCCCAGGCAGGCCTCGGACTGCCTCTGCCTCCCTGAGTGCTGGGATCACAAGGCGTGCGCCACTGCATCCGGCCAGACCTACTTTCTTGAAAGAAAATTTCCACCAAAAATAAACAAGTAAGCTACAAATAGGTTTTAACTTTACCTGATGGTTTTTGCAAAACTTAAAAATCTCAAATGTGATAAAAAATCGTTCACACAGTTTTATGTAGCCGTGTTTGATGCACTAGAAGATGCCCCTGTGCAAAGAACTGCCTTTGGCCTGGGACTCAGATCTGCCCCTGGAGTCCTGCCCACGCACGTACACACCTCAGCACCTCTCTCCCGATCGAGAGCCAAGGGCTGCTGCATTTCTAAAGGACTTAAGTGTGGGAAAGGGCAGGAAGAGAAAGGTAAGGGACTCTCTAAACTGTAAGACTTGTTCCTGTCATGTAATCAAGGGTTAAGGACACACTCAGTAAAATAGCCAGAGCAAGGGAGAGGATTTTACGGATACAGAAGATACATGTAGGTGATTGTAATGTTAAGAAATTTATACCATTACTGGACACCACTATATTCTCCGTAGTATTTACAAGTTAACTGCTTATCAACACTATCAGGTTTTGACTTTTGTGACATGAGGCACTATGTCTTCAAATTAAGTTCAAGTATATCCTAATAGTGATAACGGAGCTGGGCAAGAGCACTGTGGATGAAAACAAGAGCACAGGGAACCATCTGTTTTTGCTGCGTTGATTCTGGCAAGTGGTGCAGACAGACAGAAGAGGCCAACACCACACACTGTAAGTGCAGAGTGCGGGATCTGGAGGTGGAACCAACAGTTCCGCTGCCTTCATGATATTAAAGGAAGCCTTTCAGTGTGGCTGCTGGTCCCCGGACAGCAAGCAGCAGAGACGGGACTGACAGAGGGAAGCTGTGATCAGAAAAGGGCTTTGTTACAAGGAGCCAAAGAACCACAACTTGGCATAGTGGATGCAACATTTTCATGTTTGTTAAGTTCTCAGCCATGCGTGAGGCAAAGGGATAGGAAGGGGAAGGATGCTGTCACATCTGTCCACGGGGAAGAGGGAGCTGTTGCTGGCAGTCTTACTTTCTGTGATGGGACTGTCACCCTGCCTTGAGCAGAAGGGGGAGGGGGAGAATGAAAGCAGAAAAGAAGCTGAGGGAAGAGGTTTCTGTTGGTTTGTCTGTCTGTTTTTTCTTCCATTTTCCTCCATGCTAGCAGTGCTCAGTCTATGAGCTTCCGGAAGAGGTGACTTTTTTCACAACTTTAATCTCTGATGACTGGCATGTAGTTAGATAATCATTGCATGATAAAAAGACATTTTTGAAACGGAGTTGAGAAGATTTTCTTCCATGTTTCCCGCCGGCTGCAGTAAAGCCATGAAAGCAGGGGAGGGAATAAGAGTACCTCAGGTGTTCCTAAGACATGCTAGCCAGACTGCTCATCTGCACCGGCCCCACATATACCTGGGAACAAATGCTCATTCAGAAATGGCATAAATTCTAGTGGCAAGTAGACTTTATACTACTTTATTGGGTAGATAAATACAATTCATTACTCTTTTTTGATACAGGGTCTCCTTCTGAAACCTAGTCTAGCCTTGAATTAATGGTGATCCTCCTGTCCAAGTGCTGAGGTTACTGGCATGTGCCACAAATAAACTAATACAAACACTTCCATTTTGCTGTTAAGTTTCCTAACAAACAAATCTACTTAATGGACTGCAAATCTGGAAAGAATCCAAACTGTCAAAATGCATATGGAGGCTGGCCTGAAAGTGGGAGCTTCTTCCTGCCTCTGCCTCTGCCTCTGACCAGGTGGCTGCGGCTACAGATGGGCATCACCAGTAGCTCCTGTGGCGTTCACGTGAGACGAGAGCCTGGAACACAAAGCTTACCTCAACACCAGGAGGAGCTTCTGAGAAGTAGCCAAGTGGTGGCTGCGGGCTATGGGACATGTGGAAGTGAGAGTAAGACGGTAAAGTGAGTCCGGTCAGGAAAGACCAGATTTTCAAAGGCCAGGATGAAAAGAAATATGTATAAAATAACAACAAAAACTGATAGCAAAGTCAGTGTTCATCTGATAGGGGCTGAAAGCTGTTAAAGGGTTCCCAGTGGGCCAGTTACAAACAAGTATTGTTAAACAAGAACACTGAGGCAGGGCACAGAAAACTACCTCAAATTGGTAGGAGGAAAAAATATTTACAAAGCACAAAAGTATGTATGTGTATGTGAGAGAGAGACAGAGAGAACGAGTACATTCTCTAAGAAAAGAGGTATTTTGAAAGGAGAATTTGTGTCGAAGACTGTTCTAATTAACTTCAAACAGTCCAACAACTTATTTCAAACAGTAATTTCCCAATATTTTACATAATCCATATTTATTTATTTACTGATAAACTAGGTAACGAAGGTTTAATATGGGCCAGGCTCTGTACTGCTGGCTGCCAGGGTACCCTGGGCAGAAAGAATGAAAAACAAAATCCTGGGCATACCTTGTGTTCATTCACAGGACAGAAGAGAAGAAACAAGGGGCTGGAGAGATGGCACAGCGGCTAAGAGCACTGGCTGCTGATCCCGGTTCAATCCCCAGCACCCACATAGCAGCTCACAACTGTCTGTAACTCCTGTTCCAGGGCATCCACCTTTCTCACTCATGCA